GGCCAGGATTATAGGCGTGTGCTACCACACCCAGCTTCCCAGCGACATTTTTAACTGAAAAGAAGATACACTATCTAAGGAAATTAACAGGGTGGGAGAGATGCATTTTTCAGTCTAAAAAATATGCATAAATTCATAATTTATTTTAGGCATCAATTCTTATAAAAAGGCTTTTTACTTGTATGGAAAGAAATAATGGAAATGCCACTTATTGGATGTCAGGCACCAAATTAAGCATTTTAAAATGACTATATCTATGTATGTAATAGATACATATATATTATATATGTATATGTGTATATATATATATATATATATAATATTACATATATATTCAGAATCCTCAGCTATGTAGAGTTCATATCAATTACTTAAAGCCATGGATGATAATTGAATTTTAAAAGTAAGGACACTCTTTGTTCTGCCTGTCTTATTATTTTGCTGTATTGCCTCCCTAGCTTATTTCAGCCACGTTACCCTGACCTATCAGGTACAGTCTGATAAGAAATGAACAACCTATAACTGATATAGAATATTCAGTGCTGTATTAAGTGTAAATATGTGTGTGTGCCGGGTGGGTGTGAAGGGGACTGGAGTGAGGCAAGAGTGTATATTATTAAATAAACCAGAAATCCTATGGTAAAAGACCACCATGGGCTTCCATGAAGTCTGTTTTTCCATTATGTTTAACTTGGAGGTGTCTGCAGGGTGTGTTATATATTCCATAATTTGAATGGTGCCCCAAGGAATTGTATCTTTACAGCCTTCCAGGATGGGATTAGGATAGAGATTCTAAGAGGAGAAAGAGTCAAATATAAAAAAGTCCTTAGTTAGAATCTACAGTGTCTCATCTCCCTTCCCTCTAGACCCAACTACTGAACTCTGTTATGCCAGGTTTGGAAAAAACCTTCATCATGGCGAAGGTCTAAGAGGATTATACTCAGAAATTTTTTGCTAAGAGGTGACAGTTCATATCATTTAGAAGATATTGTCAAACAGATGATCTTTGAAAACCCCATTTCCTTCTTCTGCCTTCACCTTATCCTTTCAAGAGGGAGGGAATGAGAGCAGCAATAAAAATGACTCATCCGGAATGACTGTCCCTACCCTGGCACTAGGAATGTGCCATTCTTCATAGCATGCAGTCCAACACTGTGATATGACAAAATGAGGTATCCAACGGGGACCTATGTAGCACTTCCTCCCACTCGGGTGGAACACACAGACACATCTTCCAGCTTGTAAGCAGCTCTGGCCTGCACTCTTCTGCCTGTATTCCTCTGCCACATTTAAATTCACAGGATCTTACTAGTTCCTTAGAAAAACAAAACCCTAAACAGGGCAAGATCATCGCAGTTTCTACATAAAACAAAAACAGAAACTTCACTCCCCGGAGCTCATGTGCACTTAATATAAGTTTGGCATTTGATCCACTTCTGTATTTTGTTCTTTTCTTTCCTGCCTCTCCCACACTGCCTACACTTCACACCATATTCTCTCATTTCTTGGCTTTTCTTTTTCTTTTTCTTTTTTTTTCCACTTCAAACCAAAAATATTCTAAGTGACAAGTAAGTAGCCCCTTCTCAAACAGAACCTGCAATAACATGCCTGGATTACATTAAGGAATGCTGGAGGGGATCCCAAAAACCAGTGTTTGAACAGTCAACCTGACAGAATTCTAGGACACCATTGAAAGGGCTCCTGTTACCTAACTGACTTAGAGATAATCAGTGTAATCCGCATGACAATACATTGTCTGACTCCAGAAACCTGCTGCAAGAGCAGAGGAGGGCCAGAGGGAGCCCACTGGGAGGGCCCAGGCCTCTGCTGCCCAGTCATGTCCCTGGAGCTGCCCTGTCCTCAGCTCTGCTTTCAAAAAAATGTGATCATGACTTTTCACAGAGTGAGATAATTTAGACGAAGGTAAGTCAACTTAACATGGAGACAACAGCAGAATGCCAACCACAGAAAGAGATCCATAGCTAATGTCCAAACCCCAGGAAACAGCATAGCAGTGAGAGGAGAAGTATCTTGGCAGGAAAACCAGATGGATCTAGAAAGAAGGTTTGAGAAAATGTTTGAAAGTCTCAACAGAATGAAAAATGTTACTAAATAAGCCCTTTGACTAGTTTTCTCTCGGACAATGTCAACAACCAAATGAAGGAAGTTAGCCAGTTAGCTCGTTCTGAGAGTTTACTTCAAGATTCTTCATGGTTCAAGAATGCAGGAATAGATTCTCAGTGGCTCTGTGTCTGTCACCTCCCAAATCTGCATTAAATGAATGGGTTACAGTACCTGTCTTGGCACCAACAATTGTGAATTCTTCCCTTTCCAATTCACAAAAAAAAAAAAAAAAAAAGGAAGAAAAAAGGATAGGGGGAAAAAAAGTAAAGAAAGAAAAGAAAAACCTCAACATTTATGACCTTTTTTTTTTTTAAAGAAGACTTTGGTTGTGAGGTTCTTGCTTGAAACCATGTAATCCAAAAGAACGAGATGTGTATTTATACCCCAACTCTACATTTCAAGACCATAAAAAGGAGGGCTGAGAGAAAATGTCACTCTTCTTTATATTTATGTCCTGCAGACATGACCTAGGAAAAATAAATGGTACTAAATAAAGAGAAAGAGGGGGAGAAAGAGAGAAGTATGAATTAGAAGTTTTGTTCTATGGCTTCTATCTAATTTTGAGTGTATTTTTCTATTGAAAACACCAGATGGAAAATGATCTTTAATGGCCTGAATAGCAAGATGGTCCTGTTGACTCTCGGCAAAGGCTATGGTTAGATTACTATTTCTTATCTCTGGTTCAAAGCTCTACATCAAAGGACTATTATCAGCTGTTCAAGTGGACAGCAAAGCCTTGCAATGCCTCAGAGCCCTCTAAGGGAGAGGAAAATCCAAGAGCATTCTTTCTTGAGGTAAAGGTAGATTCATGTGTGTTGAAGAGATGAGAAAATGGTGCTCTTCTAGTCAGAGCACTGAAGTGCTGATAAGTGAAATAAGAATGAATAAATCCCTCGGAGGAGATCTAAGAACTTAGTGAGCAGTCAGGGTAACAGTATGCTGGGATGAAACTGAATTGCAAACTAGAAAAATAAACATCTTATCACAGCAAAATCATCAAAATTTGTTCCAGCTACTTTCTTAATGATTCATTTAACAAGTATTTGTTGAGCACCTGTTAGGCACCAAGCTCTTCAAGGCACCAAGCTCTTCAATTCTCATCTCAAAAATAGAGATGAGAATTCTGCCCTCATAGAGCTATACCCATCCTAGAGATTTTTATTTTGTTTTATAATAAATACAACCATGCTGAAATTGTAAAGAATGGTCTTCATCAATTCTGGTCATCTTTCTTTAATGAAATATAGTTACTATCTCTTCCTGAAGCTTTACGATGCATCTGATCTATGGAGAAAAGAGATGTTAATGCAGTACCTCAGGTGGTGTATTACTATTAATGGCAGCTTGATTTGATGATGTGTGTATAAATGTTTGGGTGGGCAAGGGAGGCATTTTAAAATATAGAATTCAAAAAAATAGCACAGAGAAGGAATTAACTTGTGGAGAAGGGGTGTCTTCCTGAAGTACTCTATATTTTCATCTCCAAAATCACAGGATTGCTTGAGGGAAATCATTTATTTTCTGGAACTGCCTAAAACATTTCCTTCAGGGTCAGATGATTGTAGTTCATTCAACTGGAGAGAAAGGGGAAGAGCATCAAGAATACGCACAAAGTATAAGAAAGTCCAAGGGTATGAGAAGACTGACTGTTAATGAATGAATCTGGACTTAACCATTGATTTCGCATTAATTCTGTTAAATATATATTTTGGTGCCTAGAAATAGACCAAATATTATTTAGCAATAATAAAATTTGAATTTGACAACTACAAAGGCAGTATTCTCTTTAAAACAAAAAAACCTGGGACATATTATATTTTATATAAGCTTTGAAGCAATAATAAAATAATCATTGGGGAAAATTCTTATCTTTGAAGATAAGGATTAAAAGGTTGAATACAGTATGCTATATTTTCAAGTGCAAGGACAACAAGGAAGTCCTCTGTAAAAAAAAAAAAAATGCCCATCTGTTTGAAGCACATTCTTTCATTTCTTCATTTCTCTTAGGCTCTTCCCTCAGCAACAACCTAGAGGTTATGTGACATTTTATTTTCCAACACATTCTCTTGAGGTGCATAATAATGCATACTGTAGCTGACTAGACTATGCAAAATATTTGCTTTTATGGATGTCTGTGTATCTATGTTCTGTCTTCATCCCTCCATACAGCACACTCAAAACAAAAAACCAATTCAACCAAACAGACAAAACACCAACAAATCAATTGCAGATCAATTCCATAGGAAAAAAGTCAGCCCTTTGATTTTAATCTTCGATAAGCCTCGGTACAATCAACGTTCCGTTGTTCACACTCAATTCCAATTTTAGCCCTTTTATTTGAAAATAAAAACTGATGAATTATTTCCAGGGTTGTACTCTACAAAGACCATGCCTCATTCTTCCAAAATTACTTAGCAGATCTCTATGAGATAGATGCATCCCTTCCAAATTGTTCCTTAACCATCTGTTTTGATTCAGCAAGTCTTGCTATTGGCAGGCCTTGAAACTTTTGTTACAAAAGTGATGTCATTTTTTTTTTCTTTTTCAAATTGGGTCAATGTGATAAAGGGAAATGACATTTTCTTCATACTATAGAAGTAGACTAACTAAATAAAGGACACAAAAAATCTTCTTTGGAAATTTATGAAATAAACTTGCTTTAGTGGAGTGGTCAAAGGTCTATATTAGAAGCAGCAAGAGTTTTATTTTATATGGTATTTTAGGGAGTTTATAAAGGTCAACTGGATAAAGCAACATCATTTTAAATTATCTTCAGAATGAAGAAAGACAAAAGCTAGATCTAGTTGACTGAATGGGGCTGATGCAATTTACTGTTTCCCCGATGGATTGAGCCACAAGTAATATAAACCATGAAGATGACGGATGTGATCACAGCAGGCATGCCAAAGTGCAGTTTAGCCATCAACTATGAACAGCCAGCTACAGTCCATGTTGTCTCAGTTCCCCTAAAACCTAACAGGCACTTGGAAGGCATTATTGAATACAGGTGTCCCTCATCCAGCAAAACAGATAAACAAAATTCCAAACTCTCAAAACAACTTACTATGAATAATTCAAACTGTAATAGGATTTTCCACACAAGTTATCCTTAAAGTATAAGCTGTTTTATGCAAGTAAGCAGAGTTTGATTTATAAAAAACTTTAATTGTATTAAACATTTCTATGACACATTCATTGTATAAAACATGGCACAGGAATTAAAATCATAATTCATATTGAAGACTTGGCATAGAGGAGTTGATTGGTTTATTCTAGGTTACTTTATGTTCAAGAATTCATTCTACACAAATAATGGAAAGAAAAGAATAATCAATCTGACCATAGTGGTCACACATCTTAAAGACTAAATTCAACCATCCTGAACTTCTAAAAAGTTCAAGCTCATACACTGTTTTATAATCTATATAATAATGACCATAGTGTGTGAACCATTCAAAAGTCACAATTCAAATTTGACTTTTCGCTTATCTAGAGAAAATTTCATTTTTGAGTGCTCAAGAATATTTAAAATATTTCAAGTATCTCAAGAGAACTTTTGGTACATGTCACCCAAGTTCAACAGCTAACACTTGCTGCCACCTATAGGCCCGATGTCAGGAGAAAGGGCTGGGACTTTGAATAGGGATTTGCAATTTTAAGAGGCACTTTTGTTCAACAAAGCAAGACATTTTTTTTTTCATGAAAGAAGTGCTGTTGGTACCCATAAAAAGTTGATGCAACTTCCTAAAAAAGTCTATTTGATATGACAAATTTTATTGTTTTCAAAAAGGAATATCTTAAAACTACCTAACAAGGAGCAGCAGCTTATCCACTGCCAAAGTAACAGAATGAAAAGCAGGAACCAAGTTAGCCCTGTCTTCAGTCACCTCTAATTGTTGTTGCCATGGCTCTGTGATCAACATGAAAGTCAGAAACAAGGAGATAAGGAGATATTGTTTCTTTCGATTACTACCATACATCACTTCTAAGAGTCTGGATGTCTTTGGATATTCTCTCCCTTCTGGAGATTTTATGAACTCCTTCCTGGGTCAAATAATGTATAAAGTGAAGAAAAAAAAAATATTGAGTCATTAAAAGCTCTAAGGTAGATCTTATCCTCAGGGCTTTTTTTTTTTTAAAAAAAAAAATAAATAAGATGGAGATAATAAAGGCTACCTCTAAATATCCTTTTAAATATTATACATATATTTATATTCAGTGAATATGTATGTGCATATATATACACATTCATGTATGTATATATTCAATAAATAGCAAACAGCAAGTCATTAAAATGTTAACTCTGACACATACCCACTAATTTTACAATAGTCTGCAAGTGATTTGATAACTGGACTTTTGTTTCTTTATTTGTACAGTGAGTAGCTCCAGATTCTGCCTAGGTTGAATACTCTAGCATAAGGCATTTGAGTGTGGCATCCTTTCTGCCCACACCAGTTGGACCCTCTTCTGGACTTGGGCTACCCTTATGTGGGCTAGATGGTAGAAGATCAATTTCATCTAGTCAAATGTTACCTCTATATTTCAGGACACTTGGAGATCACAAGAGAAAGAAAGTCCTCCTGGCTCACGTCCTTTACAATTCCTAAAATACAACAATCCCCTTGTTATGGACTGGATTATGTCCTCCCTGCCCCAGTCACATATGTTGAAATTCTAAGCCTTAGTTCCTCAGAATGTGACTATTTTTAGAGATAAAGCCTTTAAAGAGTTGAATAAATAAAAATGAGGCTTTTGGGATGAATGCTAATCAATCTCCCTGGTGTCCTTTTAAAAATCTGAGCACAGAAAGAGACACAAGGTGTATACACTAGACACAGTGGAAAGGCACCAGAGGAAGATGCCATCTACAAGCCCAGGGAAGAGGTTTCAAAAGACAGCTTAATCTTGGACTTGAAGCATCCAGAACTGTAAAAAACTAAATTTCTCTTGTTTAAGCCACAAGTCTATGGTATTTTGTTACTACGCCTTAGCAAATACACCAAGGACTAATTAACCCTGAGAGCACTCTTGTCAGATTTCTTATATTTAAAATAGTATATAATTCTAATTAGACAGGAGAAACAAGTTCAGGAAATCTGTTGAACAACATGGTAACAACTATAGTCTATGATATATTGTATTTTTGGAAAATGCAGAGTAGATGTTAAGTGTTCCTATTATAAAACAATAAGGATGTGAGGTAATACATTTGTTAATTACCAGATTTAATCATTCTACCATTTACTTTGAAATATCAAACTGTACAAAATTCATGCTTACAATTTCATCTGACAATTTTAAAAAGTCACATAAAAATAAAAATTCTTTTTTTGAAAGTTATAAAATTAAAAACAATGATTTATATAAACATTGTATTATGTCTCCAACACAAAGCAGTTGCCCAAACATTAATCCTTATCCTTCCTAACACTGCCTCTGCTGACAAGTGAGTGAGTAATCTTTGGAATGTAATTTCATCTATTTCTTCCACATGTAGTCACCTTGTCTGTGTGCGAACATAATTTGACATAGACATAATACTTTTTATGAATGTGCATATTAGCACCTAACAAAACTACATACAATAAATGCAGTGAGCTCTTTTTAAAAAATATTTGTTTTTTAGTTGTAGTTGGACACAATACCTTTATTTTATTTATTTATTTTTATGTGGTGCTGAGGATCAAACCCAGGGCCTCACACGCGCCCGGCAAGAGCTCTACCGCTGAGCCACAACCCCAGCCCAGTAAGTTCTATTTAATAAAATATATTGTTGAAGGAGACAAACACATATGACATTAAAACCATCCTAATCACCCTGGACTTCATAGATGCCACATGTGTGTAAGTTATTGGATTTGTCCTACACAGATTCATGAGTTCTACTTCTTAGATTAACAATTTTTATCCTAGGCACACATCTACTGAACTTCCCCAAACTTCTGTATAATAAGATAACCTTAGTGTCTTAATTTTTCTTCTTCCTTTATTCTAAAAAAAAAATAAAAAGACTTAAAAAGAGAAGTGAGGGGCTGGGGATGTGGCTCAAGCGGTAGCGCGCTCCCCTGGCATGCATGCGGCCCGGGGTCGATCCTCAGCACCACATACAAACAAAGATGTTGTGTCCACCGAAAACTAAAAAATAAATATTAAAAATTCTCTCTCTCTCTCTCTAAAAAAAAAAAGAGAGAGAGAAATCAGAGCTTGCTTCTTTTCTCCATCCACCATCTCCTCTCATCTACTTCAACTTGAACTACATCCAAGTCTCTGCGTCTTCAAGTAGGTGTAGGGTGAAATCAGTATCTTCCTAATACACCTTTAAACAATTTACTTCTGAAGATTCTATGAACTAATAAATCTTGGGGATAATAATAACAAAATCAATAAAATACTTATAAAATGTTACTAATTTAAGTAATGAAAAATTTCGACAAGAACTAGTAACAATACATGTTTATCATGACCCTTGTTTCAGTGTGGTTTGTGTCTGTATGAGTAGGTCAGAGTGGGGCCCTTGAATCAGTGTGGCTTGTGTCCTTATAAGGAGATCAGAGTGGGGCCCTTGTTTCAGGTTGCCTTGTTTCCTTATAAGGAAAGCAGTGAAATCTTCAATTCAATGTGAGATGCTTCGTTATATGATTGTCTTTCCTCCTAGTTAGTTGATGATTATACTGAAACATTTCAATTCCCTTACCTCTCATTTGGGATTTGCTCTACAGGAATTTTCTTGTGGTTCCTATGGGGGTTCCACTTAACACGAGAAAGTGATGCCACTCTGATGTGAATCCACTGCAACGTGACTTCAGTGGTGTACAGAGGTGGCTGTTGTACCTGTACAATCCCTCCCAACCCCTCCCCCTTAGTTACTAATGTTACAGTGTTATACTTGGTATTTATTCAATACCATACAATAAAATTGGGGTGTTTTGATACATTATTCTCTTACATCATGTAGAAAACAAGAGTAGCACTAGCTTTTATAATCATCATGAATTTGCTTTACCAGGGATCTTTCTGTCTTCATCAAGATCTGAGCTCCTATCTAATGTCCTTCAGTGCAACCTGAAGGATTCCCCTCACACAGGCACATCTAGTGGGGACCAGCTCCCTGGGCTCTTGTTTATCGCATGCTGTGGTTTGAATGTGTGTATCCCTCCCCAAATTCCTGTTGACAGTTCAGCCTCAATGTATCAGTACTGAGAGGTGGTTAGGCCAGGAAGCTCCAACCCCAGAGAAGGGAGGTGAGCCTTAAGAGAGCTTCTCCAGCCTGTGCAAGGACCTGGTTCAGATCCCAGCACCCCCCACCCACCCCCCTACACACGCACACAAGTATATTTGACAAGTTGGGCACAATGATGTGTGACTGTGTTTTAATTAGGTTTGTCCGTCTGTAACCAAAACACCCAACAAGAGCAACTTGGAGGAGGAAAATCTTCTCTGGGACTATCGGTTCCAGACTCTCAGTTCCCAGATGGCTGACTCCATCCTCTGCCCAAGGTGAGGCAGTCCATCATGGGGCAAGGGCCCAGTGGAGGAAACTGCTCAGTTCAGGCAGCAAAGAAGCAGAAACCTTGAGAGTAGATAAGACGAGGGCTTTCAAAGCCACAAAGTTAACACAGATTTTCAGACTCAAAAAGACCTCTGACATATGCTACAAATTTTAACTTTGAAACAAGGACGTATCAGTCTCCATAATGCACTAAAGGAAAAGCCCTCCCAGAGACCTTTCTTATTCTTATTATGAAAGTGGAAAATGTCCTGAGTCCCCAGAGTGAGATGACCACTTGGGGTTATGCCCAGGTGTGACTGGGTCATTTCTTGCTCTGACCTCACAAGGGGTCATCCTGATGGAATTTCATTGTATAAGCAAGTGGCTGCAGCTGGGTTTTTGTCCATAAGTACAGGAAGCTCTTGGTGGTGACCTGTTGGACTCCCAGACAGTTAACGTGTTTGGTGGTTGGTGGCTGGTGGTTGTGGTGTTTGGATATTGTTTCTTTTTTTCTTCTTTTGTTCTTTGTTTATGTTGTTTGTTTTTTTGTTGTTGTTTTGGTTTGGTTTGGTTTATTATTTATTTTTAAGCTAGCATCCTTGTTCTGGTTTAGGATGAGCAGTGAGAGTAGTCAGAGCAGTGCAGTGCTGCAGGGGTGGGGTTCATGTTGTGAGCCATCCTTCACAGACCATTATAAGGTCCTGCAGGACATTGGAAAAGGTGGCTTCTCCCGGTTGAAACTTGCCTGCTACCTGCTCACTGGGACAGAGGTTGCAGTGAAGGTTTTGGTAAAAGTAGCCTCCATCTTCCCTTTGTTCTCTGAATCCTATATGAGGACGTCGTTGGACCACCCAAACGAGATCCAGCTCTTCCAGGTCATTGAGACCTCTGACTATTTCTACATGATCATGGGACTTGCAGGTGGGGGATGGCTATGGGACTTCATCCCATCTGATGGCATTCAGGACGACGAGGCCCACAAACTGTTCAGGCAGCTCATGCACGCCATGCAGTACTGCCACAAGCAGGGTATCATGCACCTTGACCTAAAGCCTCAGAACATCATGGTGGATGACAGCGGCAATGTTGAACTCATCGACTTTGGGCTGAGCACCAGATTCACAGCTGGGGAGAAGCTGAAGAGGATCTGGGGCACTTGCCTATCCTTTGCCCCTGAACTCACCCAGGGGGAGGAATACGAGGGTCCCCCAGCAGACGTCTGGAGCCTGGGCATCGTTCTCTACTTTATGCTCACAGGGAGATGCCCATTTAGGGCAGCCAGCAGAGAGCAGCTAAAGAAGCTCATCACACAGGGAACCTATGACATTCCCCAGCATGTGTCCGAGGGAGCACAGAGACTCGTCAATGAGATCTTGATGGTGGACCCCATGCAGTGGCCTTCCATAGAGCAGGTAATGGGGCAGGTAAAGGAGCTGCTTTGCCCAGTCCTTCTCCTGAGGCACTCCCCAAACCCCCAGATCCTTCATTTATGAAAGTCATGATCGACATGGGTCACACCCCCTATAATTACTGGTGTCCTTGGCCAGTTGAAGATTTGACAATGCGATGGCCACCTACCTCATCCTCAAGCACCAGAGAACCCAGGGGTGGGCCCTGTGGATCCTCCCAGAGTCCACCCCAAGAAGTGTCCAGTGAGCCTGCCCTCCCTTGCCCAAGAGCAGCAGCCCCCTGAGGAGGCCAAGCAGTCCCAGCAGAGGGGTGTTGGAAGTGCCAGTGTGCCTGCCCTCCCTCTCCACTAGCCTCCCAGCACGACCCTGTGTCCAGCAGCTCATCCTCCCAAGGTTCCTCCACAGGGAAATCCCACTACAACAGCAGGGGTTAGAAGAGGCTGAGGAGGAGGATCGTCAAATGCATGTGACAACTGTGCTGCGTACCCTGCTTCTGTTGGACAGCGTCCAGAAACAGAGGGGTGCCTATGGAAATGCCCAGCCCAGACAGACAGAACTGACGGACAGCCCGAAGCCCCTGAGCCTGTGGAGGCCGACATCGCAGTGCACAAGTGAGGTGTGCTGAGTGGCTCGGGCTTCTCTACAGGGATTGCAGGCAGCAGCGCATCTGCATCCACCAGCAGCCTCCTCTGGCCCCACCTGCGGAGCGCATCATACAGACTATCCCTGGGACAGGTCCCCCTGCCCTCCTCTTTGTCCTTTCGCCCAGGAGAAATTTATTCTTGTTTGTTTGTTGTTTTTTTTTTCACAAATTGTATAATAAAATTGAGATTGCAAATGGTTTTGTTTTCTTTCTTTCTTTCTTTGTTTTGGAGAGAGAGAGAGAGGAATCCGGGTGAGGTCTGAAGCCCAGCAGTCATCCTCTTCAAGTCTGGACCACTGTGCCTTCCTCTCCAGAACTTAGTTGGAAGTCTGAAAAAGCGAAAATAGTTCCATCAACAATAATGGCACAATTATCTTCAGAACATTCTCAGTCCCCCTCTGAACTTCCTCTCTCTGTAGATGTCCACTTTCTTCCTCTCAGCCACTCCATGACTGTCCAACTTTACTGCACAAACATTATTGTGGATTAAACGTGGCCATCTTTTCAGTTGCTCCTCTCAACAAGAACTGGAGCCTATTCACCTCCCCAGGATTGGGCTGCTCTTCTGAGTTCTGACCCGTGGGGATGCCACAGAAATGAAGCAGTAACAGGGCCGGGCCTCAGCCCTCAGGACAGCTTTCCCTGTCAGAACTCATATAAAGAGGCTCAGCCACCTCCTGGAAGGACTATGGAGAGGGAGAAAGAAGGCAGGGCCAGGGGAAGGGGCGGGGAGAGGTCCAGTGGGCGACTAGACATTCCCACCCACAGCTGAAGCCCCACAGAGGAGCATGATGCCACCCTGGACCTTCCTGGACTCCCAGGTGAGGGTCCACTGAATGGAGGATCCTGAGCTGACAGCACAAAGAGACCCACCATTCCTGCCCAGCCGCCCACTCTGCAGGGTCATGAGCAAGTGGATGATTGTTGTTTTAAGGCACGAAGTTTGAAAGGTGTTTAGGCAGCAGTAAGTACCTGATGCTAGTGCTGCCTTCTAGTTGACGGGATTTTTCACTGTTGGCTCAACACAATCTTTCCTGGTCAGGTCCAACTTTTAAGATGTGTCTTAACATTGAAGTGTTAATAGGTTTCAAGCCTTTTCATGTTTGAATAAATTGGTGCAACAAATCATTAAACAAAATTGGTTCACAATTGCATTGACACCATGCACTCATGTAGTCTATGTTTAAAAATTTAAATACCATCATTGATTTAGGCATAGGGCTATTGATTAGGCAATTTCTCACCAGAGAAAGGTGAGGTATAGAGGTTAAGTCAGCTATCTTTGTTCCTAACTCCAACCCAAGGATCACTGCACAAAGAGATTCTGAAATATGGTTCAGGAAAATGAAGTTATTGTATTTCTGGGTGAGTTTGGAACAAGGGAGAAGGGCCACATTAGAGAAGATGAAGCATCAGAAGGACCTGGGCATGTGGCCATCAATGGAGAGAAATTCCATGCCCCAGGATAAGTACATAAAAAGTGAAGTGAGAGCTCCAGACACTTCACAGAAAAAGAAATGTAATCGATCATGAAAAAATGTTCAACATCTTTAGTAATTAGAGAAATGCAAATCAAAACTACTCTCAGATTTCATCTCCCCTTGGTCAGAATGGCCATGATCAAGAATACAAACAACAATAAATGTTGGCAAGGATGTGGGGAAAAGTTACACTCATACATTGCTGGTGGGAATGCAAATTGGTGCAACCACTATGGAAAGCAGTATGGAGATTCCTCAGAAAACTTGGAATGGAACCACCATTTGATCCAGTTATTCTGCTCCTTGATCTATACCCAAAGGACTTAAAATCAGTGGACATGTGTTATTGCACATATGATGTGACTCTACATCATGTACAATCATATGAGGAATAAAAGGGTGTGCTCCTTTTGTGTACAATGAATCAAAATGCATTCTGCTCTCATGTATAACTTTTTACAACAAATAAAAATTTTAAAATCATTGATGCAACCACATCAATGTTTATAACAGCTAAATTTGGAATATCTAAACTATGGAACCAACCTAGTGCCCTTCAACAGATGAATAGGTAAAGAAAATATGGTACATACAACCAATGGAATATTACTCGGCCATAAAGAAGAATAAAATTATGACATTTGCTAGTGAATGGGTGGAAGTGGAGACTATCATGCTTAATCAAATAAGCTAATCCTGTATTTCTCTGATATGCAGATGCTGACTAACAATAGGCCAGGGAGTGGTTTACTGGCTTGGTTATGGGGGGAATGGGAGAAAGACAGGGAGGATGGAAATGTGAAAGAGAGTAGAATGAATTGGGCATAACTTTCCTATGTTCATGTATGAATACATGACCAGTGTAATTCCACATCATGTACATCCACAGAAATGGAAAGTTATACTCCATGTATATACGATATGTCAGAATACATTCTACCATCATATAGAACTAAAAAGAACAAATTTTTAAAAAGCAAAACCAGTCAGAAGTTAAAAAAAAAGAAAGACCACTCTGACTGCCTTTATTATCCTATTGGCTCCATTTCATAATCTTTTCTCTCTCCCTCCTCCTGTTTCCTCCACTCCAAAAATCCAGAGCAGAATCTTCCCAGAACCCCATGCAGAAAGAAAAATGATGAAAATAATCTGAGTTAAACTTTTTGCAAACCTTGGAAAATGAGCTTTTCTGTTTCAATTCAAGTTTTTTGGCAAAGATCCAGGAGCAAATAAGAACCAAGTTCATATATTCATAGTGAAGAGTGGAAAGTATAAATGGTATAAAAGACTATAAAGAGGACTGAATAATTATCCATCCAGTTAAAAGAGTAAAGAAGCTACCTTTGGTAAGGAAATCAGGAATTTTCCTATATGACTCAGGGAAGTATGCCTATTGAGCCCCTCTCTCTAAGATAGTAAAGTAAAATAGCAACATTTTTAAACTGACAAATGCCTAAATAAATAGACAACAAGAATGTTGTCATAATGTTACTTTCATAAATGTTAAAGACAGAAAAATTTTTAAAAAATGGTTTAAGATAAAAAAGAATAGTCATAAATTTATCAATCCAGTTCTTTGTTACAAAAGTACCAGATATGGCTAGTTATTTGAGAAATGGTAAATAGTAAATAGATAAGAGAGATAATACAAAGAACAGAAGGAAACATTTATTAAAACATTATAACTCCAGTAGATATTGTTGATTAGCTGACTCATTTCCATTCACAACTCTTCCAGAAAACTTCCAAACACTAATCAAGTTAGCCATGTGATCAGTTCTGTGTAAGGATATATAAGGAGAAATTACCGGATATGGCTTTCAGGAAAGTTTTCTAAAATATACAAATATCAAATATGGAAAGGATACACTTTTGCCTTTATCTCTTCCTATTTGGAGCCTCATACAAAACCTAATGGTACAATGGTTCTTTTATTACTATAAAAGATAAGCATGAAGAAATGAAGCATGAAGATGGATAAAAAAAGGAGAGACCTTCCTTACAAAACCAACTTGAATATGCTTGTCCCCAAATACTTGCTATAGGAGAGTATAAAAACATTTATTAAGCTACTATAACTGGATTTTCTATTACTCATGACCAAATACACAACTGACTAAAATATCCTTAAAGAGATTTGTAAGATACTTCATCCATAAAAAAGAACAGCGTACTATGAGAAAGGAACAACCAGAGAACTTGAAAGAATTCTTAAGACTGGCAAATTTAAAAATATAATAGAAGAGCTAAAAGGTAGAGTGAAGTCAATTTCTCTCATTACAGAACAAAAGGCAGAGATATATAAGAGCAAAGTTCACATAAATGACAGATAAACCCTGGAGCATGAAATCTGGTCCAACAGTATTTCCAGAGAGAAAAGAAGAATTGAATGGAAGAACATAATCAAAGAAATTGACAGAATGTTTTTCTCTCTGAACATAAAAAGCATAAATTGTCAAGTTTAAAGGAGCAAATTGAATGGAAAAAAGTATCTATTCTTTGCTACACTAGAAAGGAGTTTTAGAGTTGGGGTGGGGACACTCTTCTGTAATCCCAATGGTTTAGGAGGCTAAGGCAGGAGGATTGTGAGTTTAGAGCCAGCCTCACAGCTTAGCAAGTCCCTAAGCAACTCCATGAGATACCTGATTTCTAAATAAAATACAAAAAAAGGGCTGGGGATGTGCTCAGAGATTGAATGCCCCTGGTTAAAAAAAATAAATAAAAATAAAAAAGTTTTAGAGCTCTTAAGTATACTCGATAGAACTCATAAGTTTCCAAAGAGAAACTATAAGAATTTTATCAACAAAGAAAATTTCATCCTTAACAAAAGATGCTATTTGAAAATTTAGCAATGTATTTAAAGTTCTATAGGCAAATGATTCTCAATGTGCAGTTGTACATTCGCCAAAGAGCCATTGACTCGGATCTTGGTGTCTCACACTTGTAGTTTCCATCCCTTGCCACCTGCCTCACACCTAGACAAAGTGATAAGGACTATGATCTCCCTCAATAGGTACAAGGACAAAGTTCAAACCCTCATTCTGGCCTCTCTTCCTAGTCACAATAAAAGCCAGAATCACTTGTCCCTCTTTTTACCCAAGTCACTTCTGATTGCCATGGATGCCTGCCTTGCTAGCTTCCAAAAGCCTCATTATGTGAGAATGGACATTTTTACACAGTCTTGGGGAATGCATGGAGTCATCAGTGTCAATATTTTAACCACTTTTGGATGGAGAATTGATCCTGCTCACTGTGAGGCAACCACAAAACACAACATCAGTAAATAGTTTCCTTAATGTACACGGCCTCAGAAGCCATTCTATATAAACTATCTGGAAAAAAAAATATTTCCTGAATATATTCTCCAGAAACATGTTTCCAAGAGACACCGCCGAAAACAACAACAACAACAACAACAAAACAAAATATGATTCAAGTCATCAGGGACTCAATGCAGCAGTGTAACGAAGATAAACACAATCCAATGGCAGGTCCAGAAAT